GACCAGCTGCCTCTTGCACACCCCCTACTGGGGATGTGCCCGCAACCAACGTACATGCCCCTGACCGGAATTGAACCTGGGACCTTTCAGTCCGCAGACCGACGCTCTACCACTGAGCCAAACTAGTTTTGGCTTGTCTCTGAATTTTAGCTGCTTCCTTGAGTTGACGGAGTGAGTGGCTTTGTGTGCTAGGTGTCCTATAGGGCCCAGTGGCTCAGCCTCCCCAGTTACCTACGGTGGATACTCTTCGTGTGCCCCTTTATGTGCTGTGTGTGCAGTCTTGTTGTAGTTAAGCATAGATTGTTGTTAGTATCACCAAGGGGAATTGACCTCCAGGCCAAGTGGCTGTGAGGATCAGCTCTGTCAGTGGACTGGGAGAGCTTCTGTGCTCAGCTTGGATGGGGCAGAGTCTCAGGGTGGAGCAAACAGCTTCCCCCCCACATAAACCCCACCCTATGTGGCCCCTGTGTCTCCTTTCCCACAGCAATGGCTGCACACACCTCTGAGAGAAGGCTGCCCTGAGTTTTGCCTGCTGCCAGACAGTCCAATTTCTCCCTTAATGAGTCTGGGTATTCAAAGTCTCATCTGTACTGGATTTCAGTGCAGACTAGAGGTTTTGTTTCCCTCCCAAACAAGAACACTAGCCTCGCGCTTGCTGTCTGCCCTCTCCAAGCACTGCAAATAAGCCAGCCGCATATTCAGCTGCCTACCCTTTCTGTGCACATAGGGTCTCCACACCCGTCTTCCACAGCTCCTCTAGGTCTCAGTGTCCTCTTATCTTTCCTTTTAGTTGAAGAATTTCCACTCAGCCAGCTTTCCGGTGGTTCTGGATGATGTTCACTCTGTCTTCCAGTTGTGGTTTTAAAATCATTGTGCAAGGCAACAGTATAGATATTTACCTCCTGCCACCATCTTGGTTTCTCTCTCTTTTAAAAATCTGTTCACTTTCTTCTGGTCCTTTATGCTAGTAGCTAGGAACATCCTCTTCACTCAAAATCTGAAGTTTCTCATTTAAGAGTGAGGCAGAGAGAGGAACAAGGAAGTGAAGGAACCACAGCTCCAGCTACTCTTTGCCTTACTTTGAAAGCTTTTCTCCACTTCTTCCCAGATCCTGAGACTTCTGAACATCTCCTCTCCCTGCCCTCTATCTCCATTTACTACAACAAACTTTGATGTAATGGACCTATTCCTAAAAAAAAATACAAGCTTTGAAGAAATTGAAAAAGTAATAAAATTTTTCCAGCAAACAAAAGCCATTGATGGCTTCACAGGGAAGTTTTATCAAACATTTTATCAAACATTCAAAGAAGAACTAAAGCCTATCCTCAGACTATTCCATAAAATAAAAAAGGAAGGCACACTTTTAAGCTCTTTCTATGAAGCCAGCATTGCCCTAATCCCAAAACCATATAAAGACACTATAAAGAAAGAGAATTGCAGGCCAATATCCCTGATGAATATAGATGCTAACATCTTCAACAAAATTCTAGCAAATCAGATCAAGTATTACTTTAGAAAGGTCATACACCATGACCAAGTGGGATTTATTCCAGGGATGCAAGGATGGTACAATATCCACAAAGCAATAAATATGATACATCACATAAACTAATTAAGAGACAAAAATCACTTAATCATATTAATTGATTCAGAAAAACATTTGACAAAATCCAACATCCTTTCTTAATAAAAACTCTCAGCAAAGTGGGAATAGAGGGATCATACTTCAACATAATAAAAGCCTTATATGACAAACCTACCGCCAACATCATACTCAATGCACAAAAACTAAAACCATTTCCCTTAAGAACAGGAACAAGACAGAGATGCCCACTTTCACCATTCCTGTTCAACATAGTACTGGAAGTGCTAGCCATAGTGATTGGACAAAAAGGAGAAATAAAAGGCATCCAAATTGAAAAGGAAAAAGTAAAATTGTCATTATTCACAGATGACATGATATTGTACATAGAAAACCATAAAGACTCCATCAAAAACTACTAGAATTAATAAATAAATTTGGCAATGTAGCAGGATACAAAATTAACACCCAGAAATCTATGGCTGTTTTATACACCACTTAGTGCCTGGTACATGGATTCATGCACATTGACAGGAAATTAATTAGGACATGGCTGGCAGGGAGGGACTGGACGAGATGGGCCAGTCATATCCTGGAGCCAACCTCTCATGGTCCTTCCCCAGCCAGCCACACCTGGGGCAGTGCCATGTCTCAAATGGCATCTACTGAGTGAGCAGGGTCTTTCCAGCAGGTGAGATACCTCAGCCTGGCCTGTAGTGATCTGGGCCTTATCCTAAGGCCCAGAACAAGCTCTGCGACATCCCCCGAGGGATCCCGGATTGCAAGAGGGCAGTTCTCGAGTGATGCACCCCAGAATTGGGCTTCCTATTCTCCAGATCCAGGGTGCATCACTCAAGAACCGCTGCTTCCAGGTCAATGCAGCTCAGTAGCTCCTGCATTGAACATCTGCCCCTTGGTGGTCAGTGTGCATCATAGCTACCAGTCAAACACTTGGTCTTAGCTTCTTATATATAAAGATAATAAACTCACAGGAGGAGAAACAAACAAACAAACAAAAAATCCCATTTACCATTGCAACAAAAAAGTTAAGATGCCAGGAAGAAACTTAATCGAGAAGGTAAAGGACCTGTACTCAGAAAATTACAGGATGCTGAAAAAAAGAGATAGCAGAAGACACAAACAAATGGAATAATATACTGTTTTCATAGATTGGTAGAATCAACGTCATTAAAATATTCATACTACCCAAAGTAACCTACCAGTATACATTCAATGCAATCCCCATTAAAATACCAACAGCATATTTCAAAGACCTAGAACAAACTCTCCAAAAATTCATCTGGAATAAAAAAAAGACCTGAATACCTGCAGAAATCTTGAGAGAGAAGAACCAAGTTGGAGGGATCACAACACTGGATATCAAGCTATACTAAAGCCACTGTTCTCAATACTGCCTGGTTTTGACATATAGATCAATGGAATAGAATAGAGAAACCAGAAGTCAACCCAAGCCATTATGCTCAATTAACATTTGATAAAGGAGGCAAGATCATACAATGGAGTCAAGACAGTCTCTTCAATAAATAGTTTTTGGAAAATTGGACAGATATATGCAAAAAAAAAAAAAAAAACTAGACCACCAATTCACACCATACCAAAAATGAATAAAGGACTTAAACATAACATGGAAAACCATAAAAATCTTAGAATAAGCCAGAGGCAGCAAAATAGCAGATATGTCTCATAGCAATATCTTTACAATACATCTCCTAAGCCAATGGAAACTAAGGAGAAAATAAACAAATAGAACTATATTTTTAAAAAGCTAAACAAAAGGAAGATAAACAATCCAATAAAAAAACAGCCCAAGGACCTAAATAGACACTTTTCAAAAGAGAACTTACAGATGGCCAAGAGATATATGAAAACATGCTCAAAGTCACTAATCATCTGAGAGAATCAAATCAAAACAACAATGAGGTATCATCTCACACCTGTTAGAATGGCTATCAACAAACAACATGTGCTGGAGAGGATGTAGAGAAAAAGAAACCTTCCTTCACTGCTGGTGGGAATACAGACTGGTGCAGCCACTATGGAAAACAGTATGGCATTTCCTCAAAAAATTAATGGAAGTGCCATTTGACCCAGTGATCCCACTTCTAGAAATATATCCCAAGAAACTAGAAACACCAAACAGAAAGGATGTATGCACCCCTATGTTAATAGCAGCAAATTTATAATAGCTAAGATTTGGAAACAGTCTAAGTGCCCATCAGCAGAGGAGTAGATTAGAAAACTGTGGTACATCTACACAATGGAGTACTACGCTGCTGTAAAAAAAGAAGGAATTCTTACCATTTGCAACAGCATGGATAGAATTGGAGAGCATTGTGCTAAGTGAAATAAGCCAGTCAAAGAAGAATAAATATCACATGATTTCACTGATTTGTGGAATATAATGAACAATATAAACTGATGAACAAAATTAGAACCAGAGTCATAGAAGCATTGAACAGATTGTCCAGCCTATGAGGGAAGGCAGAAGGTGATGGGGTAAGAGATAAATCCAAGGACTTATATGCATTAATCTGAACATAATCAATGAATACAGACAATAGGGGATTGAAGGCAGGTGCTGGGGGTGGGAGCAGCCAGGGAGAGGTCAATGAGGGAGAAAGGAGACTTATGTAATACTGTAAATATTAATAAATTAATTTAAAAAATAAAAATAAAATAAAAACATATACAGTACTCATGAGTATGTGTTTCTTCTATTCAAGTAAAAACACAGAAACCCAACTGGAAGAAATATTCCTGAATACTAATAATGGCTAAATATGGGTGATAAGACTGTGATGGTAAATATTCTGTATTTTTATAAACTTAAAACACACACACACACATTTGTTTTGTACCAAGAACTATGCTAAGACTATAGTACATGCAACAAAGTAAGACATACTCTTTGAGAGTTTCCAAACGAGTAAGCAGAAACAGTCTGCAAAGAATCAAGGAATAAGCAAAGCTGAACTACAACATTAATGTCATTCAAGTATAAATGTGATATATTTTTACATTATATCATTAACTTCTACATTAACTTATGTTCCTGTCCCCGTCAACTGTCAGCACTCCCCTATTGAAAAGTAAAAAGAGAAACCCTGTGAACATTGTAAAATACATCAGAGGAAGATCTCAAAAGTGTCCGAATAAAAGTTTCTATTAAGGTAATAGAATAAAAAGACATCAGAAAATTAAGAAGTTACATTTGAAAGAAAATTCTAGAAAATATATAGCACTTAATTTTCTATGTGATATAAATTTTTCAAGACCTATGTAGCTTACTCATTAACTAGTTCCAAAACACAATGGATTTGCTGATTATAATTTTCTTTGAATGCTCTTCAATGGATACTGTGAGAACAGAGCTCCCTCATCCCAATGCTCAGCTTACCAAAGAAGGATGCCATCTGCAAGTGATTTGAAAAGACTTCCATCACTGGGATTCATGGGTATGAGATGCTTACAGTCAGGGTCATCCTCCAGGGCCTTGTTTATCCAGTTAACAAATGCCACCTTTTCTTCCTCTGAAAACAGAACATTTCAGTAGCAAAGCTCATCTCACAAAATTCATTGCGCTATTAAAACATTTCTAATCAAAGATTATAAATGCCAATTATTAAAACTATACTAAAACACTAAAAACTTTAAGGAGAAGGGGGAATTCATTCCAATTTTTCATCTGATATATTAGGGAGGAGTAAGGTGCCTATCTTAAATGAGCTCAATAAACATTCAGTTTTATTCTGTAATATTTCCAAATACATATTGCTTCAAAGAGTGTATGGATCAGAAGCCAACTATCATAGGTCAGATACACACAGGCACACACACAAGGGGAAAAGTACAAGAAACAAATTTCCACATCAATATAGTCCACCTGCCATCATCCCTGAAAAATTTAGAGTTGTTCTTTTGGGCTTACAACAGAAATACTGAATTTAATATAGAATTATTCAAATGAATAAAATAGGTCAATTTTGTGAAATTTCTGAAAGAAATCTGATATAAACCTAAATACCAATACTACTTCCAGCCACTTTCATTGTCATCTACTTAACACGTGTCTTCTAGCATGAATAACTTGATCTTTAAACAGAATATTACTGCAGTGGGAAAAATGGGAAGGAACTTAAAAATAAAAGTGTTCTGTTGCTTTATTGTTATTATGTAAATATAAAAATCATTTAACAATATAGAATCTAAAAGGAAATAATCCCCGTTTCCATCACTGGATAACATAGTAAGCTGAACTTCCCCATTTTTGTCCTAGTTCCTAGAATTAGGCAGTTTTCCTAATTTTGGCAGGTAACCCCCAAATTTAATCCAACACACACACACACTCACACAGGGGTGGGAAGCATGAGCAGAGAGAATAAAAAAGACCCAAGTAATTACTAATATTTCTTTTTCACATATCATAATCTGCCTTCTTATCTCTTTACCTCACGATACCTCCCCAGGGACTTAGAGTATAGGGCATAGGTAAAGGATGTCCAGCCCACAGGCCATATAAGGCCCACAAAATTATTTGGTCTGGCCTTGCCATTGCATTCGGGATGAGTTAATTAAATGTTTGAACAAATATAGCAGGCAATTTTTAAATTGATAATTTTGTATGGCCCACAAATGATTCTATAAATACCCAAATGGTCCATGGCAGAAAAAATGTTCCCTATTCCTAGGTATTTAAAGATCACTAAGGGGAGAAACCAAGATGGTGGCATAGGTAAATGCCTAACTGCAGGCTCAAACAACAATTTCAAAAAAATACAACTAAAATATAAAATGGACATTATCCACAACTACAAGAAAGTTGACTGGCTGGAAATTCTACAACTAGAAGGAAAGAGAAAACCAGAAGGAAAATCAGAGGAGCTGTAGAAGCCTAAAGTACGGAGACACAGTGGGCGTGGGGAGAGGACAGAGCTGGAGAGGAGGGGGCAGCTGAGTGCCTGGCTGGCATTCCCTAGTGGGAAGGAGATAAAAGCTCTGGACTGTGCTGAGTCCCAGTTCTGACAGCACTGAACCCCAGTTCTGGGTGAGAGCCTGGGGATCCAGACACATAAGGAGGGAGTCTGGGCTGTAAGGTGGAAACTCGGGGGAGTGAAGAAAGGAAGTCCCAGAGGCGCGCACATTGCACACAGAGGACGGACTGTTGACTGTGCTACTGGATTGCCCTACTGGGAAGAAGACAAAAGCTCCAGAATGCTCTGAACCCCACTTCCAACCCCATTTCCAACAGAACTGAACCCCAGTTCCGGGCTCATTGGGGGAGAGAGCCTAGTCTGTTTGGTAGCGAGCAAAACTCGAGGGCACCTTTCTCTCAGAGATGCTTGCAGTGAGTATCAAAGGACACTGAGGAACACTGAGACTCAGGAACCTCATAGGGTAGGGCTGATGGGAAGCCAAGGCTGTAGGCTCCACCCTGAAACTCTGCCCCATCCAAGCTGAGCAGAAGCTTTTGCAATTTTCCAAGTCTATTCGAATAAAGCTGTCTCCTGGCATAGACAAAGCTGATCCTCACAGCCAATTGGCCTGGAGGTCGGTTTCTCCCAGTGATACCAACAACAATCAAGACTTAACTACAACAAGGCTGTAAACACAGTCCACAAAGGGGTGCACCAAGAGTGTCCACCTCAGATAACTAGGAGGTTGACCCACTGAACCATATAGAACACCTTAGCACACAAAGCCACCCTACCAACTCAGGGAAGCAGCGAAAATTCCAAGACAAGGAAACAGATCACAAATGAAAGAAATGGAGGACAAAAAGCAACTGGATATAGAGTTCAAAACCATGCTTATAAGGTTTTTCAAAAATTTCCTAGAAAAGGCCAATAAAATAAACAAGACCTATGAGAATATGAAAAAGGATCAACTAGAAATAAAGAATACATTGTCTGAAATAAGAAATATTATACAGAGTCCTAAAAACAGAATGGAGGATGGCAAGAACCAAGTCAAAGATTTGGAACATAAAGAGCCAGAGGACACTCCTCCACAGAAGCAAGAAGACAAGAGAATCCAGAAAGTTGAAGATAATGTAAGAAGCCTCTGGGACAACTTCAAGCTAACCAACATCAGAATTACAGGGGTCCCAGAAGAAGAGAGAGAGCAAGATACTGAAAACATACTGAAAGAAATAGTGACAGAAAACTTCCCCCACCTGGTAAAAGAATTAGATCTACACTCCAGGAAGCGCACAGAACACCAAACAAAAGTAATCAAAAGAGGACCACACCAAGACGCATCATAATTAAAATTCCAAGAGCAAAAGACAAAGACAGAATATTAAAAGCAGCAAGAGAAAAGCAGGCAGTTACCTATAAAGGAGCACCCATACGATTGTCAGCTGATTTCTCAACAGAAACCATGCAGGCCAGATGGGAATGGCAAGAAATATTCAAGGTGATGAATAGCAAGAACCTACAGCCAAAAATACTCTACCCAGCAAAGCTATCACTCAGAATTGAAGGCCAGATAAAGAGCTTCACAAATAAAAAATACCTAAAGGAGTTCATCACCGCCAAACCAGAATTACATGAATTGCTGAAGGGGGTTCTTTAGGAAGAGGAAGAAGATAAAGATAAATATTATGAACAACAAATATGTAACTATCAACAAGTGAATCTAAAAACCAAGGGAATTTAAAAAATCTGATGAACAATATTAACTGGTGAATATAAAAGAATCAGAGATATGGAAGGGTAGTGAACTGATGATTCTTAGGGTAAAGGGAAGTTTGTGGGTGCGGGAAGAGACTGAATATAAACTGTGCACCTATGCATGAAGACAATGGGGAGATGGGGAAAGGGCATAGGGTGGGGTGGGAACCTGGTGGAGGGGAGCAATGGATGGGGGGAAATGAGGAACATTTGTAATAATATGAACAATAAAGATTTCTTTAAAAATTTTTTAAAATAAAGATCACTAAGATATCATCTATAGTAATAATAGCCTAGAGCCGTCAAGACGTAAACGACCAGATGGATGATCTGTCACCAGGAAGTGCATGAAGCACCTCTCAGTCCCTCCCCTGCAGCTCACAGGCTCCTATCACAGCAAGGCAGCAGGTGATGGGGTCGGCAGGGTTCAGTGGGCACAGTAGGTCGTTAGCCTCCAGCCCAGAATTAGGCAGTTTTCCTAATTTTGACAGATCTGGATCAGGCCCAGAAAGAGGCCTGGAGAGAGAGGCAAGGCCTGATCCATAGCCTTAGTGCAGGCGTCTTCAAACTGCGGCCCGCAGAGGAGTCTGATCCGACCCGCCAGGTTTTTTGGGCAGTGAGCGCAGCCAAGGTGTTACAGTAGGAATTAGTAGTTCATATAGTCCGGCCCTCCAGCTCTCTGAGGGACCGTGATCTGGCCCCCACTTTAAAAAGTTTGAGGACCCCTGCTAGTGGGTGCTGGTGAGGCCAGGAGAGAGAATGGGTGGGGTCTGATCAGCAGCTGCCATGGCTGCTGGTGAGATATGGAGAGAGAGGGGGGCAGGGCCTGATCAGCTGCTGCTGCTGAGGTGGCAGATCAGGCCCAGAGATAGGCCCGGAGAGAAAGGCAACTGTTAGCGGGGACATTATGGGTTTCCCAGAAGAGCCAATAGCTGACCGGAGGCAGAGCTTTTGATGCTGACTGGCATAGAAAGTGACCAATCAGAACCTAACCTGGGTGAACTGCAAAAGCAGAACCTAAGGTGGGGGCTGAAAAGGGGTTTTAAGGACAACAGCTGTTTGGTGTAAGGCAGTGGTCAGCAAACGCATTAGTCAACAGAGCCAAATATCAACAATACAACGATTGAAATTTCTTTTGAGAGCCAAATTTTTAAACTTAAACTACATAAGTAGGTACATTATTATTAACTTAATCAGGGTACTCCAAAGCTGGAGTGGAAGAGCCACACTCAAGGGACCAAAGAGCCACATGTGGCTTGCAAGCCACAGTTTGCCGACCACTGGTGTAAGGTGTAAGAAAGCGGTTCAGAGAAGGATCAGCTGAGGGTCGCACAGGGAGTGTTTGTTGGCAAGCTAAGGGACAGCTGAACTCTAGGAGAAGGTGGGGGACTGGTAGACGGGGTTCCCTGACTGAGCAGCCCCCACTGCAGCTGGGTCCTCTCCTGGAGCTATAGGCTCACACGGAAAACTGTGCCATCTTGCAAAGGAAAGTGTATCTTATCGGAAGCCTGAAAATCCACAACTGTGGTGACCACCAAACAGCCCAGAGCCCCAGAACACTGATTCCCAATCAGCACAAACACGCAAATTCAAGGGAGCTCTTCACTCCACCACAGAAAGGTCAGATTTCGCCGGGGATAAGGTGAGGTCTCTGGTCCCAGAGGCGCGGAATGTGCTGCAGGACATGGAGGAACAGTGAAGTCTGTGCCTAGAAAAGTCCGAGGATGTTGGGGCTGCCATGATCTGTGAATGTGGAAGGGGGTCCTCAGAGCTGCTAACAGAAGGGATTTCTAAAAAGAAACCCATTCGATATGACACAGAGGGTGAGCATAAGAATTTGAAAGGTGTGCAAGCTGCTT